CTCAACCAACTGTAAATCAAAGGGACGTTTTGCAGCCATGACGGGCGTCACTCGACACTTTGAGCCAAATGGCTTCACCACTTCCCTGCATCTGAACACAGTCTTTGGTGAAGCAAAGGAGAGTGGTTTCATGCCGGTCTTTTCATGTCTTGGTGGTGGTAGTAGTAGTAGCAGTCGTCGTCGTCGTCGTAAATAGGATTGTTGTTGATGAACACGTGATTCCGTCCGCTCCGTCCGAAAATCCCACCATGTTTCTCCAGCACGTTTCATCTGAAGGATCTTGCCTTAATTAGTTTCGCAACAAGGAATTTGGGGTGGGATGGGGTGGGAGTCTGTAAATCGTGGTTCAATGAATTCCGGAAATGAATTCCTCCCGATGTTTCTAGCGATCCAAAGCTCTGCGACCCCAAAGGGCAACACGCACCACCCCCCATCAAAGGGCTCAGCGGCGCCGCCGATGGGCGGGGCTCGCGGGAGTTAATCGCTTTGGCTGAGCCGAAAAAAGCGGCGGTGGTGTATGCTCCATGCTCGATGTCCAGCGCAAAGAAAGTCATTAGAGAATCAATGAGAAACAGCTCGTTTCGGACTGAAATATAGAATTGATCTCACCATCCCATCTGAGATGCATGCCTCTCTCCCGTCTGTGCTTTGCAGTGCAACCTGAATCTTGCGAACACATCAACAGGAGGCCAAGTGCTGGCCCTGCCAACAACCATCAACAGCATCGGAGAGAGAACACATCAACATTGATGGTGGTCCAATATAGCGGAAGGGCTGCCCATGCATATCATGGAACAAGCCGCATCCCCTGTTGAACAGCCAGTGCTGGCCCTTCTTTCTTGCACACCCCGATCGTGTCTGTCCGGAAATCGAGTCAAAATCCAGGTGGTGTTGCGTCCTTTGGGCCCAAGGACTCAGCAATCGGACGAATCTCTCAACACCTGCTCATTCACTTGCCAGAATCTGAATTGTTTTTTTCATCATCACATCCACGTCGTCTCCTCCCAGCTCCAAACGGGAATTCTCCGGAGCAGCCGGCTCAAGGACAGCCACACCCGAACGGCGAGCTGCTTCCTCGTCGACCTGGCGGGACTTATCGGCATTGAAAGGCCTGGCCCGTTGTCTCAACATGCACGCGACAAGAAGTCGAGTCCTCTTCGAGACTGAATTTCTCACATGCACCCCTTCAAGATGCTAGGTACGTCACCGAGATGGGAATTTCTGCAGCGAGATTCTTTCAGCGCCTCATGACATACACAAACAAAAAGTAAACGAAAACTCCTGCACAATATATGGTGCAAAGTTGCAGAATATTATCTATATAATACTAAATCAAAAATATAGTAATATCCATTATACAATGCTATTTAACGCATGCCATTGCATGTGAACACACGTTCGAGAAATGAACACAAAACATAATGTCTGTCCATCCTCCAGAACAAAACACAAACAAAAAAAAACACTCAATGACACGCAACAACCCTACTCTGCATGGGAACGCTTGTCCACATGGCATGGTGTCGATTTGGATTGAGGCAAGTAGCTATTTCGGTGTCCCTTAGTCATACCGTGACTCATACCATCTAAACTGATGGTCACATGGCGGCTGCTGAGCGATACCATCTAAGCTCGAAAGTGCTCCACCTCTGTGACTACCGATCACCTCGATGGAACAAAGTGCTGGTCGCTTCACCAGCAGCATAGCCCAGCAGTGCTGGGCCGCGGATCTTCGAAGAACTTTTTGGAAGGTGGGGCGAAGAATGGCGAAGAAGGCCACGTCTCTTTTTCCGTAGCAGTGTACTACTGCTACTAGGAGCAAGGGCGCTACTAGTAGCTCCTGGCCATACTACTAGTAGCTAATAACTACTACTGTCCCTTCTGGTGCAACCCTTACCGCACAAACACAAACGCACCACTTCTTCGCAGAACTTTCTTTCTTCCCCTGGCAAAGCGTTTCGCCTGTTTCGGCAGAACCCATGCTCTGTTGCAGTTATAATATATTACAATGGCCATCACAAGGTATATATGTATAAATATAATTTATATATATACTAATGTTTCTGATCGCTGCCACTAGCTGCCACTAGCGCTGAGTCCTCTTTGCCTTGATTTCCTGCCACACCCCACCCCCTGGGCTCGCAGATTCCCTAATCTACGATGCTCTCCAACGCATTTCTGGCTATGAAGAGCAAGCCGCCGCACTGTGGCGGCACGGAAGGAGCAAGCGGCACGCGTGACCATGGACCGAGCTGACCAAGCGAGGCAAAAACTGGTTTGGGGGATCACGTGAAGCGACTGAGCAAATCGTTTCATGAGTCTTTTGCACACTTTTGTATCAATATTAGAAGGTCATCCAATTTCTTGAGGCAAGCACGTGGAACAACATGTAAAAGGATGTAAAAGGCAACCTTATGGGCAGCCAGTTGTACATGCATGGCATGGTGCTTCACAAATCATTTGTTCTGATCTAAGGTTTGCCAGCAGTGTTGGGTACGAGGGTGGGTTTGTACTCAAAGCTTTTCAATTGCAGTATATAGAACCCACTTGCACCTCCCTGACTGCCGCTGCGCTATGCTTCCCATTCACCATTTGGAATAAGGAAGCGGGTTATTTCCACGAAGGAATCTCCCGCTTTTCGTGGTGCGCACACCAAGCCAAGCTGTAGATTCACTCCGACAATCAGTTCGAGAAACCGCTCGGCATCCGTTTGTGATGACAATTTAGCTATAACATACTAGTAGGCTATGTATTAAAATTGATTACTAAGAAATAGCTAAATTTAAGGCGATTCTTTAAATTGATTCTTAAACACCGGTCTCACCGGTCCGGGTGGGAGGAACGACCAGGTGAGCTCTGGGTGCGAGTCGCTCTTTTTGGATGAAACACGTGACACTGACACGACTGGGAACTGAGCCAAGCTGACCCATGTGAGATGACGTGAACCCCTTTTTTTCCGTACAACAACGGCCCACGTATTTGCAATGAAATTTCTAGGTCACCTGGTGTGGAGGCACCTGAATATACAGCTATAGCCTATGGCAATGGATGCCTATGGTCAATCTGTTGCAATATCATTATCAACGTTGGTTTTGGTTTTGGACTGTGGCTCATCCGGCGTGATGATAAAAACACGTGAAACATGGGGCTATTATAATATGATATATATATTGGGTCTATCGGTCTATCCAATTACCAGTAACAGTGGATGATGATGATGATGATGATGATGATGATGATGATGATGATGATTCGTAAAGGCCTTGTTCAAAAATAGTGATAATTGTTTACTGACTATTACAGGTAATAGGACAGACCCAATAAAGGACCCAATATCTCATTATATATATATTATATACACAGTATATAGTATATATTATTATATACAGTATATATACGTATGAACCTCTGCCAACTGTCCGAACGGCCAGGAAAGTCCGCCGTTCGGACCTTGATGGCGCCAGCAGATTTTTCTTATTTTGTTGTGCGGTGCTTCGTGCAAGAGCCCTCTAATGTCCATGAAAATCCAGGAACCAACCTGAGGGTCGAGAAACCCTCAGGGTATAAACAAAAAGAAAACACATTCAATCTAAATTTGACCTTCTACCATTGCTTCATGAACGGATGAGAATTGCCCCAGGATAAACACTTGCGACCTGTTTGCGGTTTGCTCGAACTGCTTGTACGAAACTGTTCATATCTGCGGCGTCATCAGGAACTGCCCTGATTTAAACAATCCGCTTAGGGTAAATCAATCGAAACCGAGAAATCGAGACCCCGTTCATCGAGCTTTTCGTCCATTCGATGTGGCATCACTTGGCCACCGAATACGTCGACCTGCTGCATCACCAGCCCACTGGGGCAAAGTTGACGTGAAAATGACATTCCTCCTCTCAACTAAGTCATTTTCTTTTGCGAGATAGGGTGAATATGGTCTTCATAATGGAAATTCATAAGTTGTATAAGGTTAATGGCGAATGAAGACCCTGAATATCCCTGAATCAGAGGAGGAGTGGCTAAATGTGTTTAATAGAACCTCATGGACCTCTGTTAGGGCCGTTAGGGTCTTCAAATCATGTTCCTGAACGAATATCAAGGGATCAACCTGTGACTACTCCCTCCAACAACCATCCTATGTTTATCCTTGTTCATGAGGGGTGATGCCGCAGGCCCCCAAAATATCCACTCGAAGGGGGGGGCCACTAGGAGGTTGAGATGCTCGCCACGTGCAACACACACAGCGGTGGTCAGTAATAGACACGGATGACACCAGTTTGGACCCCCCAAAAGGCCAACAAAGTCTAATGGATGGCTGCACAGACCCCCCGAAAAAAAAGGTACGCATGTGTTTCAACTCGTTTCAGGGGACATGTGGCCACACCAAGTGCTCTGAAGTCTTCGTGCTGGTCAGAACCCACCGAAGAAAAGGTGAGAACCGTTCTAAAACCCAACTGTGCTCGTCGCGGCCTTTGAAGAAGGTAGTGGGACCCTTTGAAGGACCTGAAATGAGCTTGGTGTCACAGCCCCTGAGATGGAATTTCAGATTTTGGAGAATAAAATCAAGGCCATTCCAGGGTCTTGCCATACCGTGACAGCGTGCGCCCAAAGACAACTCTTGGTTTCAATCAGCGGCTCATTTCTTCCCCTGGTTTCCCATATATGTGTTTGACATTTATGCGGCCTTACTTCTGGGCCTCGTGGCGTTTGGCCCCCAACTTCCTTTCAAGATTTTGGCACTCGCGTGCCACTTCGGCACAAACGGTCAGACGGCTGTGACTTCGGAGTGAGCAAGATCGACCTCAGTACTCGCTCAGGTCACTGGTGGCCGCAGTTGGACTTTAGTCACGGGAGACTGCGCAGAATGGGAGTTCCCCTTTGGACGCTATCAACATCGCCAATCGTCTAGGAGGGGATGAACTCCTTTGAGAGTTCTATTTCGATCCGGCACTCGTTTCAGTCCACCCCACTGCACCGATGCGCCGTTTCACAGGCCCGGGCACTCAGATGTCGCCTCGGTGGGGCCATGAACCAGCGAAGACACCGCCAACACCCATTGAACAAACCCTGTACACTGTACCTGTCCACCTGGTGGAAGGGTGACACAGGACAACCAGTTGAGAAAAAGGCTAGAAACGGCTACACCGGACGATGCATGCAACATGGAACATTTGAAACTACATAACAACAACAACAACAACAACAACAACAACAACAACAAAACAAAAACTATGGCAATGTGGCGTCTTGTTATAGTTCGAATGGTGTGATGTCAACAGTGAAGTGTTCCAAATGGTTCCCTGACTTTGAGCCGTCAGGAAACGGCGCCCAACGAGGTCGGTGGAGGCCACGTCTCCGATCCCCAGGTGAGAAAGCAAGCTGGCTGCGACCTCCAGCGACGGGCGCCAGCGACACACATGCCAAGGGTTTTCAGGGTTTTCACATTCCAAGTCATTTACAGGATGGTGAGACCCTGTGAATAGAGGAGGGTTGACACTTGACACACGTGCGCTTCAAAGAGGAAAAAACATCAAGGTGTCAAGGACTATCTCAAACAAACCGTATATATATATTACAATACTCAGGTTCGTTCAGGTTTCTGAATTACTGGGTGAAATCAACAAGTGCTCTATGCTGCGGTGCAATGGTGGACTCATGCGACCCTGGGCAGGAAACTATCATGGATCGTGGATTAGCTTCACCAGTTTCACCAGGGTGCATACAGAAGCGCAAAGGTCCTTCGGACCTCGATTGGCCCAACCAGACCACTCGGCAGGCATCGAAACAAATGAAATATGACGAACGGACGTGGCAGTGAGTGGGGAACACGAACGTCCAAAAAACCATCTGACTGGTTAGTCGCAAGGACCAAGTGCGGAATCACCGCCGTTCAAGGGCCGCAACGTGAGCAAGCTCAGGTTGCGGGACCCCTAAAGGTCACGTTGTTTTTCTACGAGCATTACTACCATTCAACACCCGTTCAAGAACTTCATATATAATAAGCTTGATAACTATTTAACTATAAACATACATATATATATATATACACACTTATTGCTACTTATTCATAAAAAATGGAAAACCCTATTCCACACCAATGTCCTTCGATGCTTAGCCCAATTCACCTCCCAGCATCCCAGCCCAGGGCGGCAAAACGCTCCCCGGAAAGCTTTCTGAATTTCTTCTATGAAATTGTGGAATCATAACATTATCAAAATATTCACGGGCCAAATTGTTCAGGGTACATGGCTGAAAACCATGGGAAGGTTCCATAGAAGAAACTTCTTGGCTCAACCTCGAGAACTATCACTCGCCCGTAAACGAGATCCGCAATAGAAGAACCCATGTCCCAGAAAAGCCAAAGGCACGTCGAAACTCTCCATTCCCTGCATTGCCCTGAGCGAAATGGATCTCGTTGGTGCACGAGAGGAACGTAAGCAGGGTTCAATCAACCAAATCATTTACACAGGGAGGCAGCAATCATTCAATGGCATCTGCATTGAGGTGGAAAAAAAGTGAGTGCAGCCGCAGGGCTGTGAGTGCAGCCGCACGCCCGATCAAAATGCAAGCCCGTGCAGTGCAATCTAACGCTGGTGAACATCCAATAAAACGACCCTCAACAAATCAGGAATTTCACCCAGGAGAAGCTTCGGCCTTGGCGCCGAAGAGATTGCCATCCTGATTTGTTGAACATCTAATTGACTGCTTACCAATCGAACGTAGGAAGGTGCATCGCGTCCGGACGGACCCGAACGCGGCGGCGCCTGACGAACGGAACAAGAGGACGCTACGAACGCAAGGGAATAGCAAGGTGCTTTGCGCCGTGTGATGTCTTGATGTGTGAGCGAGTCACATGGGCCAAGCGAGTCACATGGGCCAGGCGGCCATGCTGTTTAGGGTACCCGGATTCTACCAGCATCCTAAAGTCAATGAACTGATATATTCGTATGTGTGAATAGTCGACCGGAGTACTTCCGATTCATGGACGTGACTTCACGTACTCCATTTTTCTCCTGTTCCAAGGCTCCTCAACTCCGGAAAACCCCTTGGCGTTCCCCACTTGGGCTGGCGAGCGGCATGTGCAGCCTCCGCAGCGGAGGAAGTAGATTCGAAGACCCAACAATGTAGTAGGTTTAAAATAAGATCTTAATTAATTGTTGTGTTTCTAATTTGGAAGGATTTAGTAAAAACATGCTTTAGTTATCGTGTTTACATAGGTGGGTGTCAAAAGTTTACATAGGTGGGTGTCAAAAGCCCAATTCTAGAGCAAGTTTGCAGGCGCGGATTTTGCTAATAGATTGAGCAAGTCCACCAACCACATGGCCGACATGTGACTGGTTGGTTTCACCTCCAGGAGTTGGCAAACCACCATTGGTTAGCATGGATGAGGGTTACCAATCTTACCAACTGCCAGGATGCTGCTGTGATGTGCCGATGGATGCCGAGAAAAAAAACGGCCCATTGTTCCTCCACTTCAACCCCCAAAGTGTCGATCTTGGGACCGCCCAGAATCGAAACACGACCTTTGCGCCCTTCCCCCCATCACGACCACCCCTTTTGCGTGCCTGTACAGATGCTGCATAGGCGCCGCCTTTGGCAGGCCGATCAGGAAGGGAAGGGACCACCAAGTGGCCGGCGGATTGGGGTGTGTCCACTGGCCGGAGGCCTAGGGGAAAGCCAAAGAGTTTGGAAAACACATCCTGTAACTGTAGCAATGCAAATATTCAGGCATACCAATTCGTGTGTAGTCTTCTTGTAGGTGCTTATGGACAAATACGGATGCACATGGTCTTGAACCTGGTCTCCGGGATCTTGTGGTCGAGGCAATGCTTTACAAAAGGCCTACATATGATCAGCATTGATCAGCTAACCATCGAAGAAAGCTTTCTGGGGGAGCTCCCCACATTTCCTTCAACCACCTGCAGTACGATGACGAAACCTAATTTCGCCCATTCCAGATTATTCCAGAAGCTATTGGGTTGGAGGCCATCGCTACTAGTAACAAGATGTAACAAGTATAGATTTCAGTTGGGTGATCTGCCCACACTCGACGCCTGCACCTTCCACTGCGGCAATGCTCCCAGTAAAGGGGCTGGCAAAGGCCTTGTGGGTCAAGGGGTGATGTGTATGTAAGGAGGGCAGTCTATATATAGCTGTGATTTTGGGCAGTTTTAATTTGCATTTAGTAATGAACAGATTAGACTTATCGAGACTAGGTGAGACTAGGCTTGTCAAAAAGCAACACATTTCCAGTGGTGTCCTACCTCGAACCCTACCCTTCCAACGGAAAACAAAAACACGCGTGACTGGAATCATCACATGTCAACACGCTGCCGGTCGGTGGTTTGATTATGGCGTTTGATGTTCGCACGTTCGCAGCGTCCTCTTGTTCCTAGTAGTAATGCCAGGAGCTCCCCGTTCGTAGCGTCCGGATGCTACGTTCGTAGTAATGCCCTTGTTACGACCGTAGCGATGCCCCTGCAACTACCTTTAAAAGCATGATTCTGCCCAAAGCGAAGTGGCCCGTGATGAAGATTAAAAAAAGGAAAACATAGGAAAACAATCAAAACATGACGGGTCGTTCTCATCGTTTCTCTGTTTGTTTTGCTAAAACGATTCAAAACGCCCGCCCCTGAGAGGCTCTGGACCTCAGAGTACTGGTTGAAATACGGCATGGCCTAGAGCGACCGCGGTCGGCTTCAACGGAGCGAATCACAAAGGAACTCGAAACCACAAAGCTGGTTGCACAGAGCTGTTCAAGTCCCAATATTTCGATAAATGTTGCTCTTGCGAGATGTTCTTGGGGCAGTGACCAGAGGCAGGGCACCGAACTCAGCACTGCAATGTGTGTGATGCACCCGCTGAGCATTCTTGCCCTCGTCCAGGGCCATCCGGGGCCAGGGCAATGGCACACTTCTCACAGCGAGCGAAACACCGGAAAACAGCTGTTCCCTTGACATGACTCTTCGCAGGGCTCCAAGTACCCTCTGAGAAGGTGGGTTAGGAGAGTCCAGTCATACCTTCGGAGGTAGCCCATTCGGGCCGGAATGGGTATACTGCAAATCATGGGGCTGGTATGATCGCTGTATATCGCTGTAGCACAGGTGGTATGCCACACGTCCTTCACCACGATCACCGCCCGATCGGCTCGAGCCACGTTCGCTCCTCGCCTCGTTCCAGTAGAGCTCCTCGCCCTTGTGCCCTGGCAGATTGCTTGGGACTCTGCGTTGGGACTCCCAATTCGACACCGAAATGGATGGAAACGAATGCCCCATGGGGCGCTCAAGATGCCCAAACGTGTCAAAAGACGGAAACAAGCCCTCTTTCACCATGTATTTCAATCAAAAGGATGCATTTTTGGATCACCTGCATCTTGCTACTGATGTGGGTCACAAGAAACTGCCCCAAGTTGTCAGTGTGTGCAAGAGGCATCGAACATCTCCCAGTCTCCCACTGCCCAGCTAACATGGGAATGTGTCGCCCTTGCTGCTCTCACAGTGTATCGCCTGAAGACAGCAAGGTCCAGGCATCCTCCGCGCCCAAAGTGAGGCTGGGCGGCACGTGTGTGGCCGCCAAGCTGGACGTCGTCTCTGCATCCTGATCACGCTGCAAGAGATGAATCCCAGTGCTGTGGGTCAACGCATTAGTTTAACATGTCCTTTGGACTTGCTGGGTAGTATAGCAGTATATAGCTGCACATGTGTGTCATATAACTTGGGTCTATATCAGTCTATATCCAAATAGGACGATGATGACTAATAAAGGCCTTGTTCAAACATAGTAATACAGTATTTGTTTGCTGACTGTTACAGGCAATAATAGGAGAAACCCAGTATATGTTCTTACGCTCCTGCTCGCATCACTTACCTAACCACAATGTGTGCTTACGGGCGAAGGAAGTACTAAAGATCTTAGAATGATGTTAGAACATCTTAGACACATCTTACACATCTGCGCTGAGCAAGCATGACAGGCATAATCCCGCGGTTCACTGGGAGGACTCTGGGAGGCATACTAGCAACATACATGTGGAAATATTACCTATGCACAGCTCACGCAAAATGCATGACGCACAGCTCAGATCCGCAACCATACGCCTCTCAGTCTCTTGCCTACCGCCAAGCTCCACATGACGAGGTCATCACTGAACCGATTGGCCCAGCGACCTACCAAAAATCTATCTGAACCTGGAGAAGCAAGAATTTGACACTCTGCAAGCCTCAAAGGTTCACTCGGATTCAAGACGCAAAGCAAACATGGACATGCCCAAAGGCATAGGAAGCCCAAGCAAAGCATGTTCTGCAGTTCCGTCAAACACGTGGCCACCTTTGTCAAAGAAAACGCGCGCTTATATATACTTGTGTGCACCGCATAGCGCCACTAAGAGGCAACCAAGTAAATTGCAAACATAGCGCCACACATGTCTTTTGGGCCACACTTTAATCCGCTTTAATCTATGTGAAACTTATGGAAAGCACATGTTGGGTCTGGCGTATTCTGGACTCTTGCGTTTTCACTGCGGAAAAAAACTACACAAGGTACTTCAACTGGTCAACACCGCTGCGGTTGTGTCAAAACCTGGCCCCGGCTGAAGGCAGCTTGGTGCTTGGCTCTTCTTGGCGGATTAGCGTCACAAGCGACAAGAAAATTAGCGTCACAAGGGAACGCCTAACACTTCTTGGCTCTGGCGATTTCTGGCTCTGGGTGCCAAAGGCGGCCAAAGGACATGAACCGGCGCAAACCGTTGTCTCCCTTCAAGACAGCCAAAACCCATGTGTGGGGCGGCATAGCTATGGGCGCTTCCATCCGGCCCACTCCGAGGGGCAACTGCCGCAGGTTCGTGCGGCTTCGGAGGGCACGTCTGACCCCATCACGTTCGGCAGTAGTGGCGCTACCGTACACTGACGTACGAAATGTTGCATGCACTCAAAACAACTCAAAATGTCTAGTTACGGTCCGCCACAGGCCCAGTCACCGCTATCTAGGTCCCTTCAAGTGCAATAAACCAACAGCCCAAGGGACCTGACAAACCCAGAGTTTGGAGCATCCACTCTCCCCAAATACAGGCCAATTGAACCCAACGTCTTCGCTCGACCCTCCTCGTGGAGTTCCTCGGCGGTGCTCACTGAGCCGGAATCCAAGTCCTGACGTGTCAGGCTTCGATGATCTTCGATGCTTTGATGGAGTCGCTTTTCTCTGCCCAAAGGAGGGACATCGAACATCAATGACCTTAGAAACCCGGAATCAATGCCTTGAAAGCCACGAAGGCTGTCGGCCATCACCAGCTCATAGTGCACTTGAGAGAGGAGGGGGTGAACAAAAAGGTAGCCACCATGCAAGCAGGGGTGGGCCACTGGTGAGTTGCAACAAAAACTTCAAACAACAAACCAGGAAATGCTTGGACAGCCCTTTGTTCATTACATATAATGTGGGTTCGAGATGGTTTGAGAGTCCCTTCACTAGGCAAGCTGCAAAGTGGCTGGCCAGATCTGGCCAGCCAAATCTGGCCGGCCTTTGCACCTGGCCTAGCCTCTGGGAGGTTGGAGCTTCGCTGTTTGCCCTGCTTCGCTTTCTAGAGCGAACCAGACCTTCGAACCAGACCGTAGTTCAGCGATTAATTGGATCGAAGCTGAATGCACCTGATGAGAAAACGAGATAGAGAACATGCATGAGGACGAGGGGGATTTGACCCAGGAGAGGGGCACTAATGAAGCTGAAGAATGCTTTCTTATCTTTCTTAGAGTCTATGATTCATTGCAAGTCACCAGCTTCCCAATACAATACATTTGTGCTAAAGCAAGGAAAACTGAGGTATCTGAAGCATGCTGGAGCTACAATACCTTTCGTGATCAGATCCGCACACTCACTCCATCCCTTTCCGGAAAGCGACTTTGGGTGTTGATGGCTCAAATCGTGTCGCCTCCTTGCAATAGGCCGGATAAAAAGGCATTTGGTGCAAGGGCATGGCGGGCGCCATGGCCGATTGCCTTGCAAAGGAAGAGAGACGACACAGTCACACTCAGTTTCTCACTGCAAAGGCCACCACCAAAAAAATGGAACCGATTCAAGAGTTTCTCATGGTTTCTCTATTGGGCCGGCTGCGATGCCTCCCATAGCTGGGGGCGATGCGTGTTTCGGAAGCACTCCCGTTGTGAGACTGCTACCCTTCACCAATCGCATCCAGCAGGTAGAACTTCATCCTCCATCTCCCTCTTTAAAAAGACTCGCGACATCGGGAAGCTTGGGGTTAGACATGAAGAGGTCTCCAAAGAATGTTCAACTCATATGAAAGACATTCCAGGTCTGAACATTTTCCTTGTTTCCAGATGCATGATGCATGCCAATATCAAGTGAACGCTTATATATTAAGTGATCCCACAGCATAGAAAACTGCTTCCACCTTCAGTGGGGGCAAACACTACAAAGCAATAGAAACCCAGCCCCACTTGTAAACTCTTGCTGTAGAACACTAGGACTTCATAGGACTTCCAAGTTCAATCATTGATCATCTCCTGGAGAAGTCTGATTCCCAAGTCCTAAGGTTGATTGACTAGCGCTCCAGTTCTCTGAGCTCCAAACATGAAGCTTTCCAAGCCATAGTCTTGCGCCGCCTGGATCTCAGGCCCACGACTCCGTAGTGTTCCACGCGGAGGTATGGGGGTCCATGCGTCGGAGGTACGCACAAAGACAGAGTTCGTGAAAGTCTTCTTCATTGGAATGAGCATTGGTTCTTAACCGTCTACTATGATGTAAGATCATGCCCTCCATCACCTGCAGGCCTGGCCTTACTGACCGCCATACTGCCCCCAAAAACCCGCCCCCAAAAGCCCTCGGCTTCAGCTCACTCTTTTTCACGATGGCCACGTCCTCTGAGCGCCACGTCCTCTCAGAACCTCATCATCTTCGCCTCCCCGCTCTTCCGCCGCAGTGCGGAAGATCCTTGCCACATCCTCCGGCGTGATCTTGGGGTTGTCCCGGCCGTGGAGGCCTACGATCCGCGGTTTGCACCCACACAGCTCCAAACCCGTCACGAAGCCCTGGGAGAACTTCCACCAATCAGACCTCAATCCGAATCCGTCCTCGTCCCCGTCCCCGAGCTCCGGGTAGAGTCGGGGACATCCTGAAAAGAATGCAAAGACTTGGATTGAAAAGTCCAAACAGTCTGGTATATGAGTTTAGGAATTGCGTCAAGGAAGCAAAAGGATCAAAAGGAATGAATTTTGGTTGTTACTGTATTCTTGTTGACTTGTGCTTGAAGGAATAGCTCGGAGTCAGAGGACCACCAAAAATTAACACTAGGACTAGGATAGAACAAGAAGAAACAGGAACCACGGTGGTGGTGGTGGTGGTGGTGGTGGACAAGCACTTTGGATGGCAGGTGCCACGGCACTTGCTGGGCGCCACCCCATCAAACATGGACTTCTTCCGGAAGTGATCCGACTCAAAGGCCAAGCGGTGCAGCTCGGGCGGTGGTGTGGGTGCCGGTGGCTTCGAAGCATCCCGGAAGGCCATGACCATCCAGTCCTAGCTTCGGACGAATGGCTGGGGCGTGTCTTAGAATTGAACAACTCAAAATTTGGGGATAGACTTCGACTCACAAAAATGGAAGTGGAAACCACCCTGTCCGTCGAGGAATGTAGCCCTCCCAGGGTCCGTTTCCACTTCCATGTTAGTGAGGCGGAGGGTATTTCACACTTGGATGTCCTCACAGTGACAGGCAAGAGATTGTTGAGATCGATGTCCTCTTAACTCACAGGTTGTGAGACTGGCTTGCATGTGGGTCAAGCATTCTGAAGGAACACTGTCATAATTCATGAAAACCCTCTACTCTACTGGAGTTACTGGAGTCATGTTCCCGGCGCCACGGCCACACCCTGCCATTGAGAATCACACTTGGAATAGGCACCATGCGTGTTTTCCAGGACGGCCATACCCCATGCTTCCCATCTATATACCCCTGACAATTGGGTCAACAAGGAAAACAATTTCCCTTTCGAGGTCCTCGGATTGGAGGAGAAACTCCCTCACGCTAATGGCCGTGCAGTGGTGGTAACCTCAGGACGGTAGAGGCGTGCTGGCGGGTATCCATTGATTGATTGATCCAAATCAACGAATCAACAATATATATATATATAATATATACTATCCATGACTGGCAGTTAGAATTCAACATAAGGAATTAGGAATGTAGTTTTAATATAGAAATGTAATTCCGAGCTACCATGCACTTAGAATCTACACCAATGCACTTAGAATATACAAGAGGCAAAACAAACGTGACACATCTTAGCTCCTTGACTCCTCGATGAGGAGGTGCCAACAAATAATGGATGCCAAAGATAATGCATGCTTTGCTTCAAATGGAAGTGATAAAGATCAATGGTGTTGATTCAATGGCTGCTCCACCATATTCTAACTGCATTGTATTCTATGTGCTATTTTTACCAGGTCTGCCTCAGTGAATTAGATCCTAATTCATGTTGTTCATTGATGTTATATTCTAACTCCTGGTCAGTTACTGTATATATATATATACATGTAATCAAGGGATTTAACACGATTTAACACTTCCGCCTTTGATCATTCTGTGCTCCAAGTACTTAGCCTTAGAGCTTAAAGTGATTGACATACCCATATGGACATGTTTGGACAGGTATTGCATTGTATTGTAATTAATATGATCAATATGAAGCGATTTAAAACGGTTTGATGTGTGTTTAGTACGGGATACAGGCCTAGGCTTGCCGTGCTCTTTTGAGATTGTGTGACTCTGTACCCTCAACGGAGGAGTTCAATGGAAGTCTCAGCGGTGATGCAAATGTTGAAGCATGCAACGATGTGAAGAACATAAGCAACTGCCATCCAAACTGCCCTGCTCATCCCCAGCAGGTTGGGAGTAGCAAGATGATGAACTGCCAAACAATCATTGTGTCCAAGGGTCCGATCTTTTATAGTTCTTCAGCTTGGTTCAAACCATATGCTTTCAAACTCCTCTCTCTCTCTCTCTCGGTGGCAATTCTCACCGCTTCCACGTGCTAAACTTTCTGCCCGGCAGCTGCCCTTGGCCAAGTGCCAAATGTAGAGCGGTGCTCCAGGTTTTAGCACGTTATCTGCAAGGATCACTGCACGGTCCGACAGCAAATCCAATTCTTCCATCAGTGCCAAATCGCTGTGGAAGCGCGTGCCCTTCCTTAGCTCCAAGACCTTTGGGTTTGGAAGATTGGGTTAGATCAATGAACGCGAACGTCGACGTATGTCGAGGTCGAGGTCTTGGTATTGTAACAACGTAAAGCTAAAATGTACGCAGGTGTCCTTCTTCCTCCTGGCCATGAAGAAATCACCAAACCAAAAGCCAAGAAAAGCCGCTCCGCAGGATCCGCAGGCTCCGCATGCTCCGCACCCCAGTGCCCCTATGACACCCCAAAAAAAGCCGCTCCGCTCCGCTTGACCCATCAACCTCGCGGGTGAGTGCTGTGGCCGGGGCGCGCTCCGTACCGTATACCCACTTACGGAACCGGATCCGAAGGACGGAGCTCGGTCCAAGCGTCTGATCCATGAAAACCATGTCCACCGAGCGCGGCCCATAGGTCTTCAGTAAATGAGGTATACTGTCGAAAGAGTAGCCTGGCAGATTTTTCTAAGAAGCTCAAGCAACTCAACTTGCTGGCACACCTAGCTGCAGCACTGTGTCGAAGTACCTATATGTCTACCTCTTGCATGTGAGACACGCCATTTTTCATCAACGACACATGCCGCTGTTGGCTCCTTGTGTAGAGAGCATCTTGAATCTTCAAGCTCAAACAAATCAGGTGAAAGGGCAGTGAGTCTTCCTTCTGTTCGTCCACTCCTTCGGACTCCGAAGCGGGGTCGTCTGAAAGAAGCGGACTCCGCGGACGTGTGAAAAAGGGAGGGCTCGTATACGGTGACTTGCTGGTCAACTGTTGGTGGAAGGTATGCACATAACCCGACACAACCTCTGCTTGATCGATTTTGAGGCAAAAATGTCGGAATTCTCCAGACGACGCCTGTCCAAACATCCACCACGTCGGACAGGCCAGCATACTCCAGCCTCAGACAGGCAGCCTTGGGGCCCTTCGAGTTGCGACACGCCCAAGTGGCGGCACAGACCGATTGCATGCCACTTCTAGTTCAGAGGTGGCACAAACCTGAGGTGGTTTATCTGAACCCCCATGTGAAGGACACCTTGAAGTCTGCACCATCTACTCTGAAACCATTTAGGGTAACTTGAAACCTCTCTGGAGTCGTGTGGGCTCAGCATAAGCAACCCACTCCTTTCAGCAATGGCAATTGATGCATCAACAAACCCAGCCAAATCGTGATCTATCAACAAACGCAGCCAACCCAACTCCGTTGAACCAAACGGACCTAGCCCGGTGACCTGATCCAATCCGTTCACCAGGCCGCATGTTCCGCACCAGCGTCACGTGCAACGGATCCACTTCCAAGCTCGCCACGCGGCCGCCGTGCGAACGCACCGTGCGGGCCACGTTCATGGCCGAATAGCCCACGTAGGCGCCGATCTCGACGATTAAACGAGGCTGGGCCCAACGGGCCACCTGAAACACAGGGCTTGGCCAAATAGCTGGTTACCTCCCAGTCAAGTCCCAGTCAGTATAGTAGTTTGGAGGCAATCACCGAATGCGGCAGTTTGTTAAAAATTGAATTTCTCGAAACATCTGCTGCAACATCACTTGGAGGGTGGACTGCACATTTCCAAGTTATCGTGAAATACAATGGCCACCCCGGCAACCATTCCAGTGTCAATAACACCCAGCACCACTCCATACTAGGCTAACAGGATCCTCAAAGAACATGTTCTGCCAAGTTGTTTCTAGCTTTTGGCCGAGCATGCGACGTGGCAAACAGTGGCTCTACCGGTTGGCCTAGGTGGAAAAACTGTAACCATATGGTAAAACAGGTTTCTGTCGCACAGCCCTAACCCCCTTTTCAGTCCAACTTTTACACCTATACCTATGAATATATATACATATAGAAATACATCCCAAGGTCGATCGGACACGCTAGTCTCAAAACCCGACGTTTCATGGTCCCTTTTGCCATCTTGCCCAACATTCCTTTGGAGAATTTCTTTGCGCCGCGGTTGGCGCCTCCTGAACCACCACGCCCTTCTCCCAGGCGGTGATCTTCAGCCACAGCGAGCGGCTCTCTGCGAAGCGCTCGATCGCGGCCATCGCAGCGTCCGGGTCACCGGGTGGTGCACCGCACAGCACGGCGTGCAGCGTCATGAACTCGCGGGTGTAGGCATGCGCACCTGCGGGTGAACCATTCGCGTTCCTCTAGGGGGTGCTATATATATATATATGTATATCAATGCTCGGACAAACACTCCTTTAGCACCGACGCTAATTCTAAGTTACAATCTGTGTTGGCTCTTAAAGCACATCTGCCAACCATGTTCTACATATTTATATAAATTACACCAGCATAGACCCAGATAACTGGGCAGAATCCCACGACCTGCTGACATGCGACTGGCTGGAACAAGAACGTGCGCAGCCTGCACAGCCAGCTTACGGCACCGCGCACAACCAGCTGACACCAGCACCGGTGCGCCGGTGCGCTTTGCCAG